TCATAGGATGTGTTTTTAGGTGTTTATAGGTTAAGATAAATTAAAAAGGGGTTTTTAGAGTTCAAAAGCTTGAATCCTAATTTTTTAGCCATTAGAGGTGGCTAGAATTCAATCAAGCAGACATTGTATTATCTTTTTTTTAAAAAAAAAAGGTTGGACCACATGTTATTTTTCCTTTAAAGAAGAAAAGAAAGCCATGTTTGGGCTAGGAGCATGAGCCCTTCCTTAGAGGCCTAGACACGATCACCTTGTTTGTCATGCTGCATCACATTTTTTAGAACAAAAATTTCTTTAAAATAATTTATTAAAATTATATTTAAACAATGATCTAATTATGCCAAGGTTGTTAAAATTATAATATGACTCGTAAAATCATATTATTTTAGGAGTTAATATATGCTTAATGTGTAAAATCTCAGAAATTAATAAAATTGGGTTAAAATCAAGTGAAATTGATAAAATTGAATGAATTTGAAAAAAATCACAATTTCAGTATCGGTTTTACGATTTTAGCAAAAACATATACTGCATTGTAATAGTGTACTACATGTTTCCTCCAAACTAATAGCGGCATGCCAGTTGTCACTCATCCATGTTTTACCCTAAATTCCTTATCTCTGAAGAGAAAATGTTTGAGATCAATGACTCACGTCTCACGACTTCCTCTTATCAACAATTGCAGCGGCAATGGCAGTGATCTTGCTTTTTTCTCTAGGCCAACCGTTTTCTTTTCAGGCTTTAGAATTCAATCTTTAACTTTTTATCAATAGCTTTCTGCCTCTTTCTCTTTATTTCCATCATTAACGACATCCTTTTCACTTTTCATTTTTCATCAACAGCGGTAATGATCTCCTTTTTCCCCTAGCATCACCAGTTTTCTCTTTAGATTTTAGAGTTTAGTCTTCGGCTCGCCAACTTCCTCTTCGGTCTTCATCATAAGAAGTTCTATTTATAATGTCATATTCTCCAATCCTCTGTATTTTTCTGGTCCTGATTGCTCATGATTTTGAATAAAAATTATTCCCTTTATAATGTTTTTCTTGATGGAATAAGTAGTATGATGATTTTGAAGTGATTGAGTAATGAATATGCAATAGAAAGTTTGAAGTGATATGTAGATTTGGTAACGACTTTTTGTTCAAAAATTTATGCTCTCTACCTATTTTCTCTCTTGTTTGTTTTGTTGATAGAAAATTCAATAAAAAAATATTTAATTATTCATAATATTTTGTTAATGATAGAGAGTATAAAAAATAATTGAGATGTCAAATTGTCAATTATTATTGAATTAGAGAAATAATTACTCCATTAAATATCTTGATTAACATTGATGATCTGTGAATTGTCATTTAAATCAAAGAAAATCACAACTAGCCAGTTAATTTTGTAATTTTTTTGACATTTTCCATTAGAAATAGGAAGGAAAACAAAGTGAGAAAAAACAGAATTACCGAGGGAATTAGGAGGAGCCGTCCAAGGTTGTCCAAATGCACCTTATTATGATGCTACTGGTTTATTTATTGGTAAAAATTGCTTGATGTATTTCTAGATATTGCTTTTTCTAATGATTCAAAATTTAAAAATCTTCTAAAGATATTTGATCAAGAACTATCTATTATAATATTTTTTCAAGTTTATTAAATCTTCTAGCAAATTGAATAAATAAATAAACTTGGTTCATATCCTAACACTAATACATGATCAGTAATTTAATATTTTAATATTTTAAGATACTTGAACTATATATATATATATAAATTTTACAATTTCAATTTATTTTGCCTTTTCCATACTGTGTTAAAAATATATTTTTGACAACTTCAAATTATATCATAACTTTCGATAACAATAGAGGTTCTTTTATGGCAATAGTTAAATTTAATTTATAAATAAATATTTACTAACCTAATATTCCAATTTTTTTAAACAATATGCTTATTGATATTCAATAAGAATATAATATCTATTTTATTATTTATTATTGTATATCTTTTAAATACTTTTTTCAAGTTTATTATTTTTAGACTTATTTATACAATTGTGTATAAATGATTGATTCATGATTTTTTTTAATTAAAACTTACTATGATTTTTTTTTATTAAAACTTAAATTTCATGATTATAATAAGTTTTTATTTAAAAATAATATTTCTGATTAAAAAACCATTTATTTTTTTCAAAGCATATAAAAAAAATACATGAATAAGAGAGGTTGTTTTTTATTTAAAGATTAGTTTTTGCTCTTTGTTTCAAGTCATTAGAATTTTTGATGAATGATTTTTTTAATTGCATTGGTTTTTGTTCAATAAACCATGGTGTTATTAAGAAAAAATGTTATTACCATAATAGAAATAATTACATGAATAAGAGAAGATAATTTTGATTAATTTTTTTTTCTCTAGAATTCTAATCATTGCCTTTCTTATCAATATTCATTTTAATTTTTATATAAATAAATAAAAATAAATTTTAAAAAATACCATGTGTTACAAGGTCAAATATTCGTATTTGTATTTATTTTTTATTTCTTACAATGAAGATCAACCTTTTATTTTAATCTTTAATTAATAATAATCACTCTCTTAATGATTTATCAATTTATATATTTTTCAATTCATTTTATTATTTACATACCTCATCTTTTCAATTAAAAAATCACATGATTCTAGAAAAGATATTAATAATGTTTACATAAATATCTCTTATGTTAGAAATTAGCTTTAGCTTGAAATCTATGTTACGAGTACACTTGCCAGTTACATAAAAAAATATAGATATAAAGCATTATTCAATATATAAATTTATATGATTTTCATGGTTTAATGTCTAATTTTTAATTTTATTCAAATAGGTATATAATTTTTATTTGTTTTGTACAATACAATATTTAAGTAAATTATTATCAAATATTGATGTATCATTTAAATAATGATATGAACTCTGACACTTAAGCTAATCTTTAAAGCTGACATCCTTAATAGGATATATGTTAGCGACAAATGAGAAAGAAAGTGTTCTACAAAACTAACAAAAAATTTAATAATAATAATAATTATTATATATTTTTATAAATAACATTGATAGCTTAGATATAGGAAACCTATTTTACTCTACAAAATTTACTTTTTTCTTCAATCAAAGTATTCTAAAAATAATATTTTTAATTTTAATCAAAATTTAAAATATTAGAAACTTTTAAATAAAATTAAAAGTTAAAAGAAATGAATAAATTTAAGCAATTGAAATTGCATTATCCCTCGTGTTTAACAACCTTATCAACTAACATGCCTATGTAAGACGCTTATTTTGGGGTATTTTTGCTTAATTAACACGTGTCCCAAAATTTTGGTAAAATAATATAAGCAGAAAAATATTTTGAAAAAAATAATTGAGTTACAAAAATAATATAATTTCTAAGTGCAGTATTTAAAAAAATCACACTTGGAAATTATGATATTTGAAGTAAACTATTAAAATGAGCTGGCACAAATTTCAGACACTTGGAAATTATGATATTTGAAGTAAATTATTAAAATGAGCTGGCACAAATTTAGAGAGAAAAAGAAAAGAAAATAAATAATAAAATTTTAGAGAGATATCAAAATACTTTTAAAATCATTAGAAATAGTTTGATAATATATATCCACGAACATCAAGAAAGGTTGCCAATAAAAATTAAACTGATCAAAATGCTAGATTAGTAATGGGTGAATCATTTACTTTTGAATAATATATATGAAATCATTATTGAGAACCTTTCTTAATATTTATAAATTTGTCTCATGAAACTCTTTCCAATAATTATAAAAATATTATCTTCAGAGTTTTGGTATATTTCGAGGCTTTTTTTTTTTTGTCTTTTATCTTCCTTCTTTCATTCTTTAAATTTTGCCCAACTCATTTCTCTCTCTATTTTTTTTATTTTTTTTTTGCTTCTAAAATACTGCATTTCACATGGGCTGTTTTTTAAAACATATATGGTAGGTGGGAACAGCAGAATTTTCTTAGCTGCATTATTTTTCAAAATTGTTCTTTTATATGTGCTAGTTTCCAAATTGAATTTTGTTTTTATACATGCTACTTTTTCAAAAAAAAAAAAAAAAAACCTTGTTTTGCTCACCAAAAAAAAAAAAAAAACAAACCTTGTTTTGCTCCAAGTACATAATAATTTCTCTTATAATTAAGTGCCGTGCATCTAGCTAGCCGTCGCTGGTACTAAAACAAGAAAAAGCTATTTCTCTACCAGTGGAGCCTGGTGTCGAGGAGACACGGTCCTGGACAGTTTTGTCCTTGCATGGAGGCACCTGCACATGGGCCTCTCTACCAAGATAATAACTACAGGCAAGGCAAGCCTTCGCAGCCGATTGAATGGTCCTTGAAAGTCGAAACTACACGGCCCCAACAATTTTCCAAAGCAAGTATTAAGCCGAAATCTGGGAGAGGTGGTAAAAGGCTCAGAGTCCCATTGCCGTGATTGAAATCTCTCTTCAGATTTGTAATCATGTGGAGTAATTATCATAGAGTTGAAAAGAAAATGACGAAGCACACATCATATTAGGTATATGATACAGAGGGCCTTGAGGAAGTAGCCCCACCTAACGATAACCTATCTGATGGATGATAAAGTATCGACTGGGACGGCCACCATTGTCAATTTCTTGATCAAATATCCGTTTGGACAGATCTTTTCAGAATCCAGAGGAGAGACTTTGTTGGGAAATGACATGCCATCTCTCACTCATAGACAATAATTGTCCACTCTTCTTACAACTAAGCTAATGAACAATGGGTTGCCTTCTGAGATCTTGTTATAACATCAGCCTCCTACTTTCCCTTCTTGTTAGATAAAACATGCACCAGCCATTAGAAAAGGAAGGAAAACGAAATCTTATTTGCAACCCACCAGACGATTAATGCAATTACTTCTGTTATTCTTTTATTTGCAACTAATCATAAGCTTATTTACGGCCAGGTTATTATCAGTCTCGAAACTCTTAATTTGTGCTGAGTTTAGTCCCACCGCCCCTCCCTCTTTTCTTATGCAGTTCTATCTTTTCAACTTGCAGGGCTTTCAATTCTGTCTCAGAACCTACAAATTCATTACACACACACACACACACACACATGAATGTGTAAATGACTTACAGATTACATCAATTAAAATGGAAATGCATGATTAAAGAATGCAATCGCTTCAGTTATCAGTTACTCAATTCAAGTTTATTTATATATATATAAATACCATCACTTGATCTGTGCACGCTCACAAATTAGAGGTAACTAAACAATTATCCAAGTAAGGGAGGGAACCCTACAGAATGCTCGATTTTCCTAGCTAAGTGATTAATATATTTAGTACAAGATTATCATGGAAGTAAAATTGCAGAAGCACGCAAGAATGAAAGCTCAAATGAAAAGAGGACCTGCTTCTACTCTAGCGTGTCTATGAATGGCCATGAAGCACAACGTCAGTGACATGGTCATGCACGTGACAGCAGAGGTTACAGCCTCGAAGATGGCCAAGAACCGCTGCTCCCGGAGGCCCCAGAGTGTGCTAACAAACAAACCCAAGCCATTTACAACCGTAGCCAGCGCCGTCGCCATCTTTTCCTTAGCAACAAAGCATAAAGAGGCCACCACTCCAAGAAAGAGTTCCAAACCAATCCTTTAATAAAGAAGACGGTCTTTACTACCATTTAAAGTTTGGCAAATAGCTAAGCATCTACATTTGTGTGCCGTGCTGCATGATGTCATGGTGACGCAAGTGTACATTAAAAAAATGGTAAAAAAACACAACCGAGGTCATAGACTACTCTCATTAAAAAAAAAAACTGGTATAATTTAATTAGATAATAAAAAAATAAAAAAGGCAGTAAATGGATCTATTTAAACAAAAAAAAAGAATTATTGGAACTTGTAAAAAAAAATGGTTGTTGGAATAAAAAAGGTAATGAAGGTAAGATTCCAACGAATCAAATAGAAAAAAATAGAAAAAATGAAAAAGAAAAGAAAAGAAAAATAATCTAAATAAGATTCCAACGAATCAAATAGAAAAAAAATGAAAAAAATGAAAAAGAAAAGAAAAGAAAAGAAAAGAAAAGAAAAATGATCTAAGTCATTCTAAGTGAGTATGTCAAATATATAGCAAGGTTATGAATCATAATAATTTAATATGAAGCAAAAAACATTTATGAAAGTAAATTCAACAAAAAACAACAATAAAAAAACGAGATAACGAGGGTTGTTTTTCAAATTAGTGAAAAAAAATCTAAAAAAACAAATAAAAATAATAGAGCACAATCTCTAATTGAATAAATATCAAATAATAAAATTAAAAAAAATCTTAAAAAAGGAAAAAGTAAAGGAAAATCTAAGCAAAACTCCTAATCTTAGATTAATTTTTAAAACTTATAACCCATAAAATCTTAGTCCCAAGTTCAATCACGAAGCTCAAGTCTTAACTAACTTTATAATAAAGGATGAAATTAGAAAAAAAAATTTAAAAATTTCAAAGTAAAAAAAATAACAATAAAAAGAATGAAGATCAAATTTGATAGGTAAAAAAAAAATTAAGGGGGATGATTTTTTTAAAAAAAATTTAATTTTAAAAATGACCTCAAATAAAATAAAAAGTAATCAAAGAATGAGGACTAAATTTGAATGATGAAAAAAAATTAAAAGGGATGAAATTCAAAAAGAATTCTAATTTTAAAAATTATTTTAAATAAAATAAATAATAAAAAAATAAGGGTCATATCTAAAACAATAACAAGTTAAAGGGCTATTTTTAAATTTTAAAGAGATAGATGTCAAAATTAAGGAGAAAATAGTAAATAAAAAAAAAATTTAGTGCTAAATTAGAGGTGTAAACTTTGGTGTCAACATCAAATCAAAGATAGTATGACCATGTTGAGTATTAGAGTCCTGAGATAAAGAAAAAGGAATAAATGATAGAAATAATAATAAATATAAGGTATAATGAAGAGAATGATATCCATAATAAATTTAAAAGTGTTGTTGAAGTTAAAACAAGGGTTATGATTTTTATATTTAAATTTTATAATGTTGGTGGAACTAGCAACGAGTTTCAATGGAGAAAAGCATAATGAAAATTCAAAATAAATATATTTTAAGAAAAAGAAGACGATTCGAGGAAATTAGTATATAAGGAATAAAAGTTGAGGAATTGTTCAAAAAAGTGTTAATAAAAGTTTCAGTTACAATTCATTAACATTTTTGTGAAATGATAATAAGTTTAATAAATAAATAAATATATTTTGTAATGAAAAAAATGGTCTCGAAGAGTTAGTAGGATAACTAGAAAGGAAAATAGTAATGATCGAGTACAATGCATGAAAACTATCTAAGAGTATTAAGAGGGGTAGAATTCTCAAAAACTAAAAAATAATCTCCGTGTAAAGCTTGTTATAGCTAGTTAGCTGAAGGAGAAAAAATGGTTGTTCTTGAAACTTTCACCTAAACTAAGAAAAAATTCATTGTTTTAAAAAAGCATGAAGAGATATAGCTAGCTTTTAGAAAGAATATCAAGTTAAGAGAGGTTTTAAAGGGATAAAACAAAAGGATAGATATGGTTTCAAGTAAGCAAAAATGTAAGCTCAAAAGAGAGGAAGGAAGCTTTTAAACAAAAATGGCTATGAAAACATGTTCAAATCTATTTTGTATACTTGAGTAAGTATTCTTTCTCTTTATTCTTTTGCTTATGATGAGTAATTTGAAGAATTAAAAATCTTAGTATATTGAAATGTGTGGGTTAGGGTTTAGAAAGTTTGGGAAGAAGGAATTGTTGATTGAAATAATGTTACGTAGCCTTTTATAATGTTTTTGATGCATGAAAATGAATTAGAAAATAAAAAAATTTCATAAAGACCTCATTTGATCGAAAATTTATGTCTAAAGAAGGGACAAGAACTAGTATGAATTCTTGATAAAAATTGAGTTAATTGATTTAAGTTGTGTTATAAATACTAGAAAACATAATAGAAGATGGAGAAAATTCTAAGGGATTTTTATCCCTTGGAGGCAAAAGATTTTGCAATAAAATGATGAAAGTTGTTATTATTAGAAAAACTTGTGTTAAAAAATTCTCATTGAATTGTTAAAAGGCATGAATAGATGAGTTTGGGTTAGAAATTAAAAAGGAGCAAATGTTTCCTTTTGTGTCTAAAACTTCTATTTGATAGAAGAAATAAGTTGACTTGAAATGTATTAATTAGAAAGCAGAAAGCAAAAATATATGTAGTTAGCCTAAGGATGTGTTTTGGGCTAAATATAATTGTAATGAATTTCAAATGACATAGAGGGATCGATATATGTTGATAATGATTGGTAAATCCTATGATGATAGAGGAGGCTTCATAAGCTAAACTACATGCAGAAGGAACAGGATCAATACTTGCAGCATGTTGGTGTTCAACATCTAAATAGTTAATTTTCAATTAAGCATTCCTTGATAGTTTTATTTATTGAAATTGTCCAATGATTTTGAAAACAAATGAAAAAAAAAATAAAAAAGGAAAAAGAAAAAAAAGGATAAGAAAGGAAAATCTTATCATAAAAGGTTAATTAATCTGTTATGTGGTGAATACTACATGCATTAATTTATATTGATATCGAAATTTGATTTGATTAGTCTTCCACGTGGTGGAGACTAATGCTATATTTTGATTAGTTTTCCGCGCGGTGTATACTAATTATATAAGTTGATACTGATATCAGGATTTGTTTTGATTAGTCTACAATATGATAGAAAGAAACGGTATCAATTGATACTAATATCATAATTTGTTTTGATTAGCCTATAATGTGATAAAGACTAATGATATTAATTGATATTGATACCAAGATTTGTTTTGATTAGCCTGCCACACGATGAAGACAAATATTATCAGCTGATACTAATATTAGAATTTGTTTTGAGTCTGTCATGATATGGAGATTAATGATATCACTTGATACTGATATTAAGATTTTTTATTATTAGACTGCTATGAGGTGGAGACTAATGATATCAGTTAATACTGATATCAACACTTGGTTGATTAGTATACTTTAAGGTGGATACTAATGATATTAGTTGATATTAATGTTGAAAGTGTATAGTTGGTTGCGTATAAACATGGCAGATTAAGGATTACTTACTAGGAAAATACTCAGGAATGGGATTTTAAGTATTTGAAAGAAAATTAACTTATCTGGAAACATGATTGTGAAAAGGAATTTTTTATGCCAAATTATTATGCGGTGATGAATGTTACATATTACTTATGCTTATTTGTTTATGTGTATTTGGATGATTCTCTAAAATAAATAAGATATGATATTTTTAAGGAATATGGATAGGCATATTATCGAGTTCGGGGTTATGGGAAGGGTAAAAAAAAAAACAACATGATGATAAGTTTGAGTTAATGGCATAAAAGTGATGTGTTTTCAAGCATGTTTTGATAGAGAAATTTTAGCATGAGTTAGGGTTGTTTTGTCAACTAAATTTGATGTGTTTCTGCTATTTTAATAGCATGAACAAGTATAGATAGAGCTGCTTATAACAACGTAAATATAAAATATTTAGTGGTGTTATGACAACATAAAAATGTGTTACCTAAGCACAAATTACAAGCAAGTCATTCAATCATGAATAGGTTACCTAATCATAAACTATAAGTAGATCACCTATTTATAAACTATAGATAGATTATTTGATCACGAACCACGAGCAGGTCACCTGAAGATAAATTATTTATGAAAAATCCTATATATTTTTCTTATGACAAACAAATTACTTGATCATAAACTATAGAGGGGTCATCCATACACCGATTATTCTTGAAAAATCCTATATATTTTTTATATGATAAACAAGTTTTTTCAATAACAACACCACTTTTTAAATATTAAAAGAACCTTTTATTTTTTAAAATAATTAACTTTTAAAATATTTATAATAATAACTATCTTTTGATTTGTTAATATCAAAACCCCGATGAATTTTTCTCTTAACCTAGGAAGACTTTTACATTTTTTTTATAAGTTTATTTTCTAAATCCTTTTAAAAGACTTTATATAGTAAGATTGTGAAAAGAAAGCTTTCATAATAAGAATTTTAATATGTTTTTCAAAATTTTTCCTAAAAAATAGCCAAAAATAAGAATTTTAATATGTTTTTCAAAATGTTTCCTAAAAAATAGCCAAAAAAAATTAAAAATATATAATTTTAATGTGTTTGTATCATTTTTAATTTTTTGTTAAAAAAATCTTAATATTCATAAATTTATTTTCAACACATTAATTTTTAACAGATCCATTTCAAAATTATTTATTAGCATTTTTATGGAGTTATCTAGTTGACATTAACAT